GCTCTCCCCGCTCGCTCGCTCGCTCTCTCTCTTCCCCCCTCCCTTGCTCGCTCTCTCGCGCTCCCTCTCTCTCTCTTACACTGCCAGCCCCTGATGTGATGGCGAAGAAACCCCGTTGACAAGGCACTGCTTTTTCATGACGGTGAGTTTCCCTTTGAGTGTATTATAATTTTGTGATAAAAATTTCAAGGAAAAAAAAAACACACAACCTCCTTCCTCCCTTCCTTCGGGGAGGGAAAAGAGAGGGGGGAAATCTATCTCCAGACAGACAGAAAAGAAAGAGGAGCAAATTAACAACCAGGAGTTGCCAAAACCAGGATATTAGGTTTCAGCCCAGAGAGCTATTGGCTCTGGGGCTATGTATATAAATATATATCTAGAGAGTGAGCGAGCGAGAGGGGAGACGAGGAGGAAGAAGAGGGATATTTTGTGGGTGGCTGTTTGGGCAGATGTGGATTCACATGGAAGTGAACTATATATATATTTTTTTCATCGACACTAGTGGTGGTGGCGGCTGCTGAGGGCACTTAAAAAAAAAAAAGTTGTTTCTTAAAATAAAGGCGGAGGGGGGGGAGAGAGATAAGGTTTCAGGTCCAGGCTGATAGCTGCAGAGAGGGGAGAGGTTTGGTGTTTTTTTTTTTTTTTTTTTTTTCTTTGCTGATGCCATGCAAATTCAGGAGAGGAGGGAAGAAAAATCTCTTTTAATGACTCATTGATTGAGCCGGTTTAAAATTAGTTGTTGTTGTTGTCTTTTTTTTTTTTTCCGCCCCCTTGATGGCCATCAAGAGAGGGATGGAAAGAGGAGAGGAGGGAGAGAGAGCGTGTGTGTATGTGTGAGTGTGAGAGAGAGAGTGAGACGGAGAGAGGGGGATAGAGAGAGTGTGTGAGGGAGAAAGAAAAATAATCTTTTCAAATCTCCTCCCTCTTTTTTTTTCCCCCTCGTTTCTTTGCTTTTCTCTAAAGCTCTGTGGTCTGTGAAACTCTCTTTCTTCCTCCTCCTCAGAAAATGGAGACACTTTGTCTCTCCTGCTTGTGGAGCTGGGAAGGATTTTTCTTTCCTTTTTTTTTTTTTTTTTTTTCTTTTTCACTCCTGGCTTAATTTTTTCCTTTCCATCCTTCGCTCGCTACCACCCTAATCTTGTCGTTTCTTTGAGCTTGTGTCTCAGATTCGTGCCTGCCGGGGATTTATTTTTCACTTGTTTCCTCGTTTTCTGTGTCTCCGCTAGATTTGATTTGATTTGTTTGCTTCTTTATTCGCAATTTCCTCTGAACTGCTCCGTGTTTCATGCTTTTAAGCAAAGGATGGAAATGGTGCTCTTTTTGTGTGCGCGAATTTTCTGTCGGAAGGTTTGGACTAATGTGTTTTTCAATTATTATTATTTTGTTGTGTGGTTTTTTTCTATCTTTTTGTGTTTTTTTTTTCCTGGCTTTTTCGTTTCTTCCTCTTCAGGATGAAGTTTTAGATTTTTTTTCTCCTCTTGGAGAGAGAATATTTGACTGTAATGCCTCTAAAGCGTAGCAATAAACCGTCTCTTTCTGGAGTAACCTGTTTGGTTTTCATTCGGAGTGGGTGTGTGTCGGCTTCTTTGTGCTATCAGATTATATTCCATATTCAATGTTTTATAAATATCATTTTTAATTGCGACTAAAAAAAATTAAGATGGTGATTTTCTTAAGTACTCAGTTAACTTTTATTGGTTATGGGAGGGGGTTATCTAGTTTTCATTTGCTTTTGACATTAGTTGTAAAATTAATTTACAGATTGTGGATTATAGTAGAAATAAAGCAGATCTAGTTATGTTTTAAAAAAATAAGGGGGGGGGGAGTGTCTGTTTAGAGGACACATCTGTATTTATTTGAAGCTGTTAATACTGAGGGAAGGACAGAATGAGATCTTGAGGCCTTTGCTTTCCCTGATCCTAAGCTCCTGCTGCCCCAGTTCTGGTCTTTTTGGGGCGAAATAACGGTAGCATTAAGACAAACAAAAACCGAAGCATTGGGAAGGAGAGGGGACGGGGTCCCGCAGCAGTCGCCGCGGCCGCGCGGGCTCGGCGGCGGGCGCCCGTGGGCGCGGGAGGGAGCAGGGAAGATGGCGCCGCCTGGCTTCCTGCCAGCGTTTGTTGCGCACTTTCGCCGTGGCTCTCCTCCCCCACGGGCGCCATTTTACGGTCCTTTCTGCTGTGGCTGCGCCGCGCGGGGCGTCGCCGCCGCCGCTGCCGAGCGCGCCCGCGTCCCGCAGTGTGGCTGGAACGTTGCCCCGCTGGTCTGAGAAACATTGTCTCCAAACTTACCAGTTACCCGTTTTTTATTTAGAAAATCGATAAATCGATGTAAGAAGTGTTTATTATTATTATTATTTTCTTCCAATATGTGTTTCACGGCGAGAGGGTTCTTAGGTTCTTTCTTTGTGTCCAGGGGAGGGGAAAGAAAAGGAAGGTTAGTACCATTAAATCTCTTACATTGAACCCGCTCATTTGTAGGCTTCCCACATCCCTCGAACAACCTTGGTTGATGATCCTGAGAGCTATTAAACTTTGTTCCAGAGTGGGCCGGGACCCATGTTTTTTAAACCTGTAAACATGAGTTTACATCTTGTTTATATACACCTCCAAAGCCAGTTTCTTGACAAGATACACGCCCACAGGTGAAGAAGGGGAAAAGTTTGGGGTTTGCGTTTGAAAGATGATTCTCATCCACCGGGTAATCTAAAGAAAAGGACGTAACAATGAAACGTATCTTTATACAGAGTTGAGTGCAACACATATGACAAAGGCATCATTACAGTATTAAAGGAGTCTTCAGTCTTCATCTTGGCAGAATTCAAGGGTAAATAACTTCTAGGTGGATGAGCACCTTATTTTTGTTGCTTTTGCTCTCCTGGTAGGATTTTATTTTGTTTTATTTTATTCTTAGACTAATTCCTTTCTCCATGATTAGTTTTTACCCTACATGAAGTATTTTTTCTTCTAAGTGGCTTAAAGTTCTCAACTCTATTTTAATAGGCTTTTTGAGCTGTGTTTTGGTGCGTGTATTTCTTTTATGTTAGAATTGAGAAATTCTAAATCGTATTTTTTTTTTTTAAGACACCACAATTTTTTTACCAACTCTGTATAATCTGACCTATGCTCTTGATGCTTGAGTTTAATACCAACAATGCTGAATTAAACAACAGTAGGTATGCTGCCAAACCAGCCCATGCTGACCCCTTAGGGAGTGTGGAATGCTTGTTTAATTCTCATTTTACACGTTTTGATACATCATTGGGGGTCTTCCCCCCACCTCTTGCTCATTCCTGTAGGCAGTGGCAGGTCTCATTATTTGGGATTATTTTTAAAGCCTTTTAAATTCTTTGACTGTTAATGTTGAAGGGTTGTGAAATAAACACGGTTGTGTATTTGATATATCCAGAGATTTTTTTTCAGAATATAAACTTTTCTAAAGTCTTCCTGGAGGCCAACATTTATTTATTTATTTATTTATTTATTTTTTAAATTTAAATTTGCCCATCCTTGAAGCCATTACTTTTTATTATTGATAGCAGTGGTCTTGGGTTACAAGGCTTGAGAGTGTATGTTTTTAATGTTTGTGTATATTTATAATACATTTTTCCTAATAAATATTTATAATAATTTTGTTAGTGGATGACAGATTCCTTCTGGATTTTTTTCATTTGTAAAGTTTCTTCCACTTCTGAAGTGTCACTTCAATTATAAAGTGACAAAAAATGTAATAGAGATTACCAGTGATGAATACCCTTTGCCCTGACCCGCACACATCAAAGCAAAATGCATCTTCATTTGAGCACAGATGTTTGAAGGCTATAATTAAAATACGCAAGTTCCATTCTTTTTAGATGTACCCTTTGGTCAGATCTGAGCTTTAAACCTTTTCCTTCCTGTATGTGTATAGTGCTCCGTTTTTCTCCTAGGTTATTTTTATCGATTCGGTGCAGAAGCTCACCGTGTTGATAGATTTTAGAGGCTGAAGCTGTGCTGGGAGCACTTGGCTGTAGTGTATTGTACCTGCACTCTTGATTTGATAGGGTTTTCAGCGTATATGTGGCTTTAAGGCTACAGTTACCACACACTTGACAAAGATAGCTTTGCTGTATCTTAATATGTATATCACATTGTCATTGCAGTTTTCTGCCCCTCACTTCAAGTGCTCTATTTATTTATTTACTTATTTATTTATTTTTCAGTAAAGTTCATCTATATAGTTCAGTTATTCTGAGAGGAAGATTGAGCCAAAAAAAAAAAAAAAGGCAATGTGCTAGTCAGGTAAAAGCTGCATTTCCTCCAAGGGCACTTCTTGTATCAATAAAGCTTTGAAACTCTAGTCCTTAGTCTAGAGTTGAAGAGCTCTGTCACTATGGGATGTGCTGGTATGCTGCTGGGACGTTTTGTTCTAGGTGCATTTTCAGAGTTTTTTTGGTATATTTACACCTCAGTTCCTGAAAAAAAGCATGCTATAGCCACATAACTGTAGTTGTATTTTATAATATGGCTCCAATGGTCAATGATTGTGTCTTTTCATGCTGCATTAGGCTTGTGGTAACTCTAATGGTTGGTGCTTTTTTAATGCAGATTTAGCAATGGGAGCATGAAAGAAAGGCCTCTGACATGATAGATACAATGCAGGCATGAGAACCTTAATAGCACAGCTCATTCTGGTTTGAGAGTTGTCATAATTAGTGCTAGTTCTGCTGCTGGAATAAACTGCATCTCTGCTTGGAAGGTTTCCTGTGCTCACCGAATCTCTCCAGCGTAGATTTGGAGGCTGGTCTGCAAAAACAAGGATATTTTGCCTTCTTACAGTAGAGGCAGAGCAGCAAAATGCAGGTAGTGTAATAACATTCTTTCTAAAGTACAAGTGTTCTAGTGTGAAAGCTGGAAGAAACATCAGTAGAGCCCTGTTGTACCAAGAAAAGTGCAAGCATAGTGCATCTGGAATGGTTTATTTTCAGAAATGAGTTGAATGAACGTGCGTGTATTTCCTACCATTGATTAGCCCATTTTCCTTATGAAAGACTCATTTGTTGTGTGTTTATTATTTCTGTTTTAATTGGGAGTCGCTGAGTTTGCAGACAAAATAAGAATTAACAGGATTAATTAATACCAACTGAAGATGCGAGTCTTCTATTCCTGGAACCTCTTTCTTTATAGTGGCTTTAAAATCATTTAGAACTATTTTGGATATTAGTTTGAATAGGGGAGTGTTTAGCAGAGAGTAAAGAAAGAAGGTGGGCACTCTCTGTCAAAACCTAATTCAGTGGCTTTCCTTTCGGGGAAGGTATCAGGAGTGGAGAAGAAGAAAGAAGAAAGTCCAGGAAGAAAGTTATAACTTAATTGCAAGAGGCTGATTGTTCTTTTAAGGGAACAAGAATACTGTAATACTGTTCTTGTAACTTGTTTTGGGAGAACTTGCCTTGAATTGTATGGTGAACTTGACCTGAATATGGAGGTTCAGGCTGGTGTTAAGGCTGAATTTATTGAGAGAAACGTTAACTAGAGAAAAAAATTTCTGCCCCACTGAACTAGATGGCAGAATATCTGATGGCTTCAGCAGGGCATTGGCTTCAGCAAGGAAAAGATTGTTAGCGTGGAGGATTTTTATTTTCGGAGCAGTGGTATGGACTGCACTGTTGAATTAGTCACCCTCTGTAAATTCATCACATTTAAATTTTGGTTAACTTCCTGAACACAGTAACTAAGAGGATATAAAAGTCTGTTCAGTTTCAGTTATCGACAGGGCTAAAGGTTTAGATGATACTTGCTTATGTGTATCATGCCTGTGGCAAGATACCAGCATTGTGGGTTTTTTAAACTAGTATTGACTGGAGTGGTGTTAAAAAGGTGTTAACAGGGCATTGGTTTACAAGTTTTTTGAGGAAAGATCAGTTCATATGGTAGTCACATTCTGGATGTATGTGTGTATTTTCTCTTTTCAGAATCTTTGGAAATTAGATGTAAGTAATGAAAAATATGACATGCAGGTATTCTGTACTAGACATCAGGTAAAAGCATTTGAGGAGGTGAAGCAAGATATTACTTAAACTGCTGTGTTGCAAAAATAACATACTGTCATATTTTGTGTTATTGCATGTAGTGGATTCTAGAAGTACTTAGACCATCTAACACACTTTGGACAAGACAGCAT